TAAATACTAGACTCTCTCAAAGCCTGGGATTTTTCATTTGTAAAAAGAGGATAATAATCTCATCTGCTTCATGTGGTGGTAGAGACTCCATGAGCTAATCCCTTGGTACCATTGCTAGCACACAGGAAGAACTCTGTGAATCTAAGCAACTCTTATTATGCTGTTTATTATTGTTTTTACACTGCAAGAAAATAGAATTTAAAAGTAAATACCTCTGGGCAGGTAACACATTGTTGTCACTGTTAAAAGGGAGGATCTTGGATGCCTAAAGTGTGACTAAATCAAAAAAGCAGGGGACCCCAAATAGGAGCAAGGCAGAGGAAAAAGGCTGCTTGTGCCTTTTCCTTGCCTCATTATTTTGCTAAATGTTGATTTCTTTTCCCAACCTTTTAAAAAGTATTAGGATGGTTGGGCAAGTTGGTAAGTCTACTAAGGTTTCATCTAGAAAATCAACTAGCGTCTAAATATTATCTAGTATTACGTGTTATGTCAAGTCCCTTGATCACATAGGTCTTACCGTGGGTTCATTCTACCTGTAGTGAAGTGCTGCCGCGTGCTTTTTTTTCCATATGTCTAGGTTTTATTTGCAGCTGTGTATTTTTATACGATTACCTGCTCCGTGCAGATGTAAATTGCTTTTTGGGATACTCAATGAAAGTAGTGATCTTTTTAAAAATTCACACAGATTTGTAGTCTCTATAATCTTGGCAAATACACCATAGATATTTGTTCTTATTTTGGTGTTGAAAATATAACGGGTGATGTGATGAGGCTGGCTTCATTAATTCATTTTGTAAGCACCATAATATAATAGTTAATTCACCCATACACAGCCTCCCATTACCTCTGTTATCTCCATTCCTGGTAAGAGCCATAACCTCATCTTTCATTTTTATTACCTACCAGTTAATTGCACTAATAGGTTTTGCTTTTCATTTCTGCTTGATTTGCCTTAGACAAACTGACAAGTGTTAACTCTTGCTACTGTTTTAGTGAGTAAGCATTTCAGGCTCTTTACTCAGAGATGAGCAAGCAAAATGGGTTTTTAAAACTTTAAAACATGTGAATGTACTTGCTAGCATCAAAATTCCAGATGATTACTTCTAACATTTATTGTTTTACCAAAAAAGAGGCTTATTTGCTACCAACACATTCTGCAGGTAAGGAATACTAGTAGCTAGAGCTATGCAGTAGGGATTTTTTCTCCCTTTTATAAAGCATCTTTAAAAATAAATAGAAAAGCATCTTTAGAATTATTTACCAGTGAATCATAATTTTCTCTTTTTTGTGCATTCAAATTAACATGAGCAAGTTTAACATGATTATTTAATAAACATTTTTCGTTTAAAACACATAAACATTTTAATAAAGATTGTTGAAAACACACATGTTGAAATCCCAAATGAATCTTTAAAGATATGTTTGCTGCGTAATTTCATTTCCTCCAATAATTTACATGAGTATCTCCATACAAAACCATGATTATAAAGATACGTAGTTTTGATTCTCCTAAATTGAATCACTTGCATTTATAACATTTTAGAATTTATGAGAATGTTGATATGCATACTGAATGCTTTATTCATCTGGAAAATTGGTGATTGAATAAAGGAATTACCATTGATTTAGTTGTACATATCTTATTATGATAGAGAAAAGATATCACACTAATGTAAAAGACTGAATAGAAGTTAATACCATAGTTGTTCTTTTCACTTAACTTTTAGATCATTAAAGAAATTCGAAAAACAAAAATTCAGAATTTTACCACTTTCTCCGTTTTAAAAATCTGAAATCTTTTTCTATGTTACTGCCAAGTTAAGAACTCACTGAAATAGCTCAAGTTATAGTTACTGTTAGACAGCAGTAATCAAAATATCACCTCGACAATATCCACCTCAGGGTGATCAGACAAACTGACGAGTGGACATTCTTTTTTATATCACAGTTTTCCTTTAATTAAATCGTGTCCCCCAAAATGATATTTTAATAAAAGATATAACTATAGAAGTCTATAAGAAAGATAAAGGAGATTTAGACAGGAGGAAAAAGTGGATCTTTCCCTAAAACTCCCATGAGGAAACAGAGAATCAAGTGACAACTAGAGAATATCTTTCCAAGTGAGAAACGTAGGGATCAATTTTGATATCAGGGCTAAGCACTCAAAGAGTGTAAAGACAGCAAGAGTTAATGACACATAACAAGCAAGGAAAAGGTAAGTGGGCTGTGTTTATTTAATTGATTTGAGGAAGAAAATTAGGATTATTTATAAACACTAAAAAAGCCAATTTTGATGAATTTGTTGAAGGAGCCTCCTTAGTTTGTGTTGGAGGCACAGGTAGCTCAGAACTTACCTGCATTTCAGGTTGGAGAGCTCTTAGCCTCGGAGTGTTTTCAGGTGGATATGACACAAATGTGAGATCTGAACAGAACAATGTTGTCTCAGGAGTTGTTTGAAAAGTGATGTGAACAGCTAACAATCTCCAAAACTTAAAAGGAACATTTACATTTAAGGATTGTGCTAGGGCCATCAGCAGTTATTTGGGTTGACCAACACTTTGAGACTTTGTTTTTGTAGATCAGTCTTTCATCTGTGCCTCTGTATTGTGCTATGAAAACAACTAGGCTATGTGTTTATTTTAAATAATGAAAGTTTTGATTTTTAATGTTAATTCTCAATGTATTTTTAAAAGGAGTAGTCGGAAAAATGTATTAAAACTCATTTCATGAATATTGTTTATGTTTTAAGAAGTATTTGATTAAAGATAAAATATTAAATGTGTGAATATGGCAAAAACAATAAAGTGGTATGTAGAAAACTACTGCTTGGGAATTATTCCTATAATTTTATGTCTTTTATTTAACATATCACCAGTTAGAAAATATTTGTCAAAGTCTGAGAACAGAAAATATCGAAATAAAATGCTGTGTGTTTTAACTTTGCAAAACTGTGCTTGCTTTATCCTGCCAGTAGCCTATTTTATTTTTAAGCCTCTCCAAACTGATTTGCTATTATCTACTAACCAACAGAAAATATAGTCTCATATTTTGCAAGTGGGTGGACTTAAATTCATGCACCTGTGAATAAAATGAGAAAATAAACTAAGATTTTATTTTCTGACGTTTTGACATTTCCTTGCCCCTTGGAGGATTTTATTTTTTCTCATTAAATAAAATTTAAGGGCTAGGGCTGTAGTTCAATAGTAGAGGGCTCTTTATTTATTATTTGGGTTTCTCATGTAAGAGAAACCATGCAATATTTAAGCTTGTGGGTCTGATTTATTTCACTTAACATAGATGATAAGAAATAGAGACATAGATCTTTCTCAGCTGGGAAGGAAATCAAGAGATAGAGAAGGGGAACGGGAATGAAAAAAGGGAAATAAGATGCGTTATGCACATGTACCAGCTCCACACAAAGAATGTAAATATTATGGACTGCAAATAGGTACTAATAAAGTTTTTTTAAATAAAGTAGTTAATTAAAAAAAGAAAACATGGTAAAGTGAATCTACAGGATGGCCAAAAGCAAAATCAAAACTGAAAAAATCAATTATGATCTTGAACAAAAGAAATCTCCCAATTTTTTAGAGAGATTTTGGAGTTAGTAGTTGAACATAACACCCTTAACAGTTTTTTCCTGTTTTAATTTTAAGCTATAATAATATTAATTTGGAGGGTGTGTGTTTGTCTGTGTACAGTGTTAGGAATGTTAACACATGTGCAGATTTGTGTAGCCATCATTATAGTTAGGATATCAGTTCTATTACCACAGAGAACCCCTCCCCTCGTGAGACACATACTTGCTCTGCATAGTGGGAATACAGTGCTCTGTCACCGCTCTTAAACTCTTAGCAAAAGACAGGCTAATTTACCATTCAAAAGCTCTTCAACTCACCCTCCTTTCTACTGTATGTAAATTCTTTGACTTACTAATTTTACCCTTTGTTGATTTATAATCATGACTAAGGATAGTCTTCATTTCTCCTCTCTATCAAATATCATCAACTAATCCAACGCTTAACTCTAACCTCAGGAGAGTTCCCAGATGATGGTGTCAGATGATCTGTCCTTGTTCATGTCACATCTGTTTATGAGTAATGCTTTGTTCATTGCCTCCGTTGTTTTTTGCACTGCCAGTTGTCTGATGTTAATGCTGGAGATTATTGTCTAGAATACACAAGAGAAGCACTGCTGGGTCTCTTTTTATAAGCTCTGCAGACAGAGGTATTTCTTTTTTGAGTGTTTTAAGGGCTCTGTGCCATACCTTTTCTGTGGCTGAGTACACTCATCACCCTATATTTCTCTGAATATATATGATATATGCAAGCCAAAAGGGGGGAAATTTCAAGCTATAAATCAAAGCTTCACTTGATCAATATTTAAACAAGGCTTGCATATTAATCAATCTCTTATAGGCATCTGAGTGTGCAATTGTGACATGCATTTCCAGTAGGATGAATTTTAATCTATAGAACATGAAAGTTAATAAATTATTTTAAAATAAATATCAACACTTTCTATGCTATAAGAAGAGCCTGACATTTATAACTGCTGTAAATCTAAAATTAAGAACTTGGATATACTTGCTATAATTGTCCCTCAGGTCATCTGAAACCACCCTAGGTATTATCAGCTACAGGAAAACCATTAACAACTTGAACCCTGACAAAGAAGTTTTCTCAGTGTAGGATTCTTTGGGCCTTTCTCAAGCCTCCTTTTATAGATGTTAGATTTCTTAGGATGTGATGATTATGCTGTGGTCTTTTTTTAAGATTTAAGATTTTTAATGAGTTCAAACAAGTTTTTTGTTTTTGTTTTTGTCATTTGCTTTTGTTAATTCCTGGAGGCAACGGCGTTACTGCTGAGTGAGATTCCTTGTTATCTTCATTCAGGAACTAAAAGTAAAAACCTTAAAGCATAACGTAGCTATTTTTATTTGCTCACTATTGTCTATCCTGTGAAGTTATACATTGACTATTTTGTCATTTGCTCTGCAGATGGATCCTGTGCAAAAAGCAGTCATTAACCACACATTTGGAGTATCCATTCCTCCAAAGAAGAAACAAGTTATTTCTTGTAATGTCTGTCAGCTTCGCTTTAACTCAGATGTGAGTATCACCTTTTCATTGCTTCATTTTTCAAGCTGAAAGTCTGATTGCTATGAAGATGTACACTCTCCGTATTTGCAAACGCTCCAGAAGCCTTTCCTAGTCATGGCCCACTCTTATCACGGTGCCGGATTTCCAAGGAATTGGGGTTCAATACTTCAAACTTGAGCAACAGTTAAGGGATTAATATCCAAAATTAAGAATTGCTCTGTGTAATCAGTCTCATCAATACTGTTTTACACTTAACCTCTTTAATTATATTCACTTGTTAAAAATACTGGAAAAGTCGGGGCTGGGGATCTAGTTCAGTGGCACAAGTGCTAGCCTGGCAAGTGCAAGGTCCTGAGTTTGATTCCCAGCAACCCCCTAAAAAAAGATACTTGAAAAGTAAAAGTAAGAAAAATATCAAAATACTATAAATACTGAAGAAAACAGTTATTATTAATTTTGATATGAAGTATCACAGCTCATGTGTGTGTGCCAAAATCTTGTTAAATACCTGAGTAATTTACAGTATGGTTTATGCTTTCCTTGAACAAGGATATGCAGGGAAAAATTCATAAATTATTTTACCTGGCCAGCATATCAATTTTGTCTAGAAAAGATAAAAAGAGCTGGGCATGGTGGTGCAAACCTGTAATCCCATCACTCGGGAGGCTAAGGCAGGAGGATCACCCTGAGTTCAAGGCTAGCCTGCACTACATAGTGAGACCTTGTCTCAAGAAAAAGTAAAATAAAATAAAAAGGATAACAATCAATCTTTTTTTATGGAAACAAATTTTTAAAGATATAAATAAAAGAGCAAGGAAGCAAAATACATGATTGTAGTCATATTGAATTATCAGGTAAACCCAGTTATTGGTGCAAATTAGAATTTGAGGGCTACATATTATGTTTTTCCTGAGTTACTCAGCCACAGAAACTGCATGTTACAAGAGTTATTTATTATTATTTTAAAATACTAAAATAATAAATATCCTTATACATATATACTGTGAGGTGATATTTTAGTAACTACATAGTAAGCATAATAAAAATTATAATCATTGGGGAAAAAAAGAGAATGTTTATCATGATTTTTTTTCTTTTTTTTTTTTTTCATCTTTTTGAGACAGGGTCTCATTATGCAATTCAGGCTAGCCTTGAGCTCACTTTGTATCTGAGGCTGGCCTGGAACTCCTAATGATCCTCCTGTCTCAGCCTCCTGAGTGCTGGGATTACAGGCATACACCACCATGCCCAGTTGTTCATCATGATTTATGAAATTATATTTAATGCAATTTTTAATCAAAAGTCCAGTCAATTTTTGTGGGTACCTGGTGAAATGCCATGTCAGCAATTTAAATGTACCTAAATAACTTAAGAAAAATATGCTCTTAAGATTTCATTTGAAATCTTATCATAAGGATGTGTCACTTTTCCCGAAACTGTAGACCCAGAAGAATCCTGATCTAAATCCCAAGGCCTTTTTTTTTTTTTTTTTTTTAGAAAATTACGTACTGTTTCTCAAATATCTAAAATAAAGAAAATCCACAAAGGGGCAGAAGGGAACTCTTGAGTGATAAAAATAGTTTATGTCTTCATTGTTGCAGTGGTCACATAACTATATTTGGTTTTAAATCACAGAATTGAACACCTAAAAAGGTATTTTACCATATAGAGAGTATACCTAGTTAACACAAAAATTAATGATATGAGCCACAGAAATATTTTGATAATTAAAAAATTAATGATATGAGCCACAGAATATTTTACAAACAAAAGACATATTTACGGTAGAGATGTGACTATTCAATATAATAAACAGCAGTATTTCCACTAATTTAAGAAATAATAAAAGACTTTTGCAAGAACAGAGAGGATATTGAATACGGAAATAGATACAAGTACATTTAACAGTTTGGTCTACTTAACCAAATTTTTATAGTTACATAGAGAAACTAACACCTCTGTTCATGTATGAATATAAAAATGAAAATGTTTGCTCCTTTATTGGCCACTTGAAAATGAATGCCCACCTAAAGATATGCTCCATTTCTTACTGCAGCAATGTGGGATGTTGAGAACATCTCACAGTGCAATAAAAACAGATTTGAACTGAAACTTAAAAATCTCACAAAAGATGCAGAATTTCATGAAGTCCATGGACATAAAGTCAGAGAACTATGTGATACGAAGCTGTTCACAAAAGAGGACTTGCCTGTTAGAAAAGTTAATGTAAGAAGACAAAAGTAAAAAGGCTGATGACCCATTGGCTCTTCCAAACAAAGGTTTTGAATGTCAAGTCAATAATAGAAGTCTTGGAGCAATTTTTATTTCTTTGGATTTAAAAAAATCTATTTTCATAGTTCAAAACTCTTAGTAAATTTCAAAGATGCATTGAAAAAGTCTGACTTCATCCCTTTTTTGTTTTCCTACCTTCTTTGGCATTCCATATTTGTAATCATGTTCATATTTTTACACATCTTTCAAGGGTTTTGCAAATATAACTAAATGTGAATACGTTTCCTCCCTCTTTCACATACAATGTAGCACATTATGTACACTTTTCTTTACCTTGCACGTTGACATACAGTATATGCTCAAGCTTTCACCCCATCAGAAGAGGGCTGCCTTACTTTTTGTTTGCTGGCCTGCCTGCCTTCCCTCCTACATCTATCTATCTTTCTTTCTTTCTTTGTTTCTTTGTTTCTTTCTTATTTTTTTATTTTAAAAATAAAAGAACAAAAACATATTAACAAACGGACATCCATTTACAAAATAGCACCAGAACAATGCAAGCAAAAAAATACTGAATTACAGACAAGGTGATAGGAAATTAACAATGGTTGTTGTATTACATATTTATATCTTCAAAGTGGTTTCTCAGGAGAACAAATATAGACATGAAGATTGATCAAATAATTAATCATTAACTGTTCCTTTCAATAAAGTGATAGAAGTCAGTAGTACAACTATGTTAGCTATCCTGTAAATACATACATACATACATAATGTCCCCTTCTTTCTTTTCTCTTTTCTCTCATCTTCTTCCTTTCTTTCTTTCTTTCTTTCTTTCTTTCTTTCTTTCTTTCTTTCTTTCTTTCTTTCTTTCTTTCTTCCTTCCTTCCTTCCTTCCTTCCTTCATTTCTCTCTCTCTGTCTCTCTCTTTCTTTCTCTTTAATTATGATAGGTAAAGATATCTGTATCCTAAATTCTGGAGCTGGTGAATATGTTACCTTACACAGCAAAGGGAAATTAAGGTAACAGCTGGAATTAAGACTGCTAATCAGCTAACCTTAAAGTAAAAAGATTATCCTGGGTTATCCTGTGAGCCCAATATAATCGCAAGGCTGCTTAAAGTAGAAGACAGGAGAAGAGGCAGCCAGAATTAAGTAAGATGAGGACTTAACTGGCTTTTGTTGGCTTTGAAGGTAAAAGAAGGGGCTACAAGCCAAAGAACCAGGGCAGCATTTAAAATCTAGAAAAGCAAGGATATTGATTTTTCCCTAGAGTGTGCAGAAGGTAGGTCATTCCTGCCAACACCCTTTGTGCTTACATAGAACCCTCAGAACATGTTCCAGGTCTCCTATTGTATTTTTATTATTCTAGAAAGAAGTAACACAATTTAGACAGTTTTTGAACTAATATAACATTCTTAAAGATGGATTTAAGCCCTAATTCTTTTTTTTTTTTTTTTTTGAGACAGAGCCTTGCTGTGTAGCTCAGGATGGCCACAAACTCATTTATATAGCCCAGGCTGGCCTCAAACTCAGAGCAATCTTCCTGCCTCAGCCCCCTGAATGCTGGGATTACAGGAGTGCACTACCATGCCCGGCATAAATCCTAATTCTAAGCTTGGTGAATCACTTCACCCCTGTTGGCCTCAGTTTCCTCTTCTGTAGTGCTACCTAAAATGGACATGATCTTTGGGAGGACCACTCTAGCTCAATGATTACAATATTTCCCCTGGTACCTGTCATGGGATAATTTCCACTGTTATTAGGGCAAGACCTAAACTCCTGTATCTTACAGCTAGAACAGCTAAGGCCAAGAAACAGAGGCTGTGACTTCTATTTTTAATTTTTGTTATGGATTGAGTAAGAGGAAGCACGAGAATTTCTATTCTGTGCCTCAGAGTTTGGGAGTAGGTTTGCTTTTGATCTAAGGGGCATTCAGTGTGAGCCATTCTTTGTGTGTGCTAACAGGGATGAGGACAGATACACACACATAAGTGTATGACCACTAGCTTCCGTATCAGCACTCATCAGCTCCATTGATAATAAAGGAATTAAATTTCTGAGTCATGCCTGGATTCTAGGCAGTGAAGCCACAAAGTCTTGATGGCAGATTCACAAATGTGACTTAGACATGTTCTTGGTGTTTAGTGATGGTGCCATAATCTGCATAACTGAGCTCGGAAACTGAGCAATTTTTATTTGGGGAAAAGTTTATTATTTTATAATTACCCTATTTACATTTTAATGTAAGAATTAAGAAGATGCTCATCCTTATTTTCTTTAATAACGTTTCTAAATCAGCCCGAGACTGAATTGGCTTCACTCTTCAGTGTAGAAAATATGTTTATTGAAAAATCTGGAAGGCAAATTTGCACAGTAAACAGACCGCGTCCTGCAGTTCTCCATTACCCATATAAAATGTACCAGGGTAGGCCTCATGCATTAAAATTCAGTGTGACCTAGTTTAAGTGTTCCTAGCCCCCTTTGTCCAGCTTTTAACATCTCAGTAGAACTCCACTGTTGGAAAGCAAAAGGCTACAGCATTATTTACACAATACAGTGTTATGTAAATGAGCAAGCATTAATCACAAACATTTCCCAAATGAACCTTTACAAATTAACACCATCCACTTTGCCAGGGGGCAGCCATTGCAGTCCACGCCTAACAAGCTTTCCAACTGATCCCGGGCATTTGCACAATTGTGTGTATATTCCAGTCCCTGGTCTCTTCTTTTTTTTTTCCGGTGTTTTGAGACAGGGTCTCACTATGTATTTTGGACT